TGGTTTATTATTTGAGTTTTATTGCCCATTTAAGTTTGACTCATTAGTCTTGCGTTGTGATGATATAAAATTGTTCGCGAATTGGGCCCTCAAATTGTTGCTATCAAGTTCTTATACTATTACCATTGCGTTCGTTAAATCGGGTGGATTCATTGAAAATAGTACATCTGAGATATGACCGTTAAGGCCAGTTATGAACACTCGTAGTGTTCTATGTTTATACCCTTGCAGAGGGTATTATAATTTCATTCAGAAGTTTGCAACGTAGTGAAGGAGACATTTCCGACCCTATAAAGTATATATCTTGATCAGCATCACTACGGGAGTCGATTTAGCCAGGTCCGTCTGTCCGTCCGTTTCTACGCAAACTAGTCCCTCAGTTTTTAAGTTATCTGAATGAAACTTCATTCATGGTTCATTATTTTAGAATTACGGTTTAAATTTCATCATAATCGGACGACTATATCATATAGCTCCCATAGGAACAATCGAAAAAAAAATAAAAAAAAAATTATAACTTAGCTGTTTGTTAGTTTTTTTCTTAGTTCTTCGACATATAGTAATGTTTAAATATTTCAGAATCACGGTTTAAATTTCATAAAAATTGGACGACTATATCATGTAGCTCCAATAAAAACATTAAAAATATAAAAAAAAAATTTTGTTTAATATAACTTTTCTATTTTGTAATTTGTTTTATATTCCTTTAGACTTATTAATAATTGCCAGTTTAGAATTACGCTTTTGATTTTATTAAAATCAGAAAACGATATCATATAGCTGCCATAGGAACTATCGAATAATTAAGCTGCAAATCATCATAGCTTCAATGTTTTTAAACATATACGCACTTAAATCATAATTTTAATGTTTTCAAGAATATTTAGTTTTTGCAATAGCTGCTGCAAGGGTATATGAACTTCGGCTTGCCGAAGTTTGCTTCCTTTCTTGTTTTCATTAAGTTCAGATGTAATTGGATTATTCCTCCCATGTGTCATAATGGTTTTGTTAATCAAGAGACTTAATATTTTATTTACCAAATTATAAAATTCGATAATCGATAATTTCCCCTGACCTAATATACTTAAGTCCTGTTCTAAAAAATGTATAGGTCGCTTGTCACTAAAAACAAAATCTTGTCTTACCATTATGGCGTCAAAATTCAATACGGTTCCATTATGAGTTAAAGCATCATTGGCAATGTGCCGAAAAGTATTTTTCACTTCCCCTTTTGTATTGTCCCTTCTTCGCCTTTAAAATCTCGAACCGACTTAACGATTTCATAAGAAGTATCGAACCTTACGTTTGGATCAATATCTTCCACCTTGAATTCAACCTTCTTTATGTTGTTATTTAATTGTATCTTTAAATTCGCGATTTCATTCCTCAAAGGACTCAATTCCTTATTAACTATTTGTGCTATTAAATCGCTTACATTATCGCTTAGAATTTTTTTAAAGTCGTTGATTAATTCTTCCACCTTGTTTATTTTTATTTAAATTTTTTGAAGTTACTTCTTATATATATATATATAACTATAATTAAACAGCTCACTTCTTCTCAGTTTCCTTGGATATGGGATGTCATCTTTTTTCCTGATGATCCTGTTTGGGTCTTCGTATAGCGAGGGATGGCCCTCAGCTCTTCCTTCAATTTGTTTCTCGGCTCTTCCTTTTTTTGTTGAATTTGTACTTGATTTTTAATTAATTTTATATTTACCCGTTTGATTTTTTTTTTTGTTTAATATTTGTTTTTGAGAGAAATAGATTTTTTGAGCAGTGTGTTTTTTTGTTACGGGTATTAATTAAAGGATTCTTGTAAACAAAGAGGGATTATTGCATTTATTGTTTTCCTCCCTTAGCTATTTTTACGATGTAAACACTTTTTATTATGTCAGCGGTTAGGTTTTTGAGCGGAACGAATTCCCTTTTTGTTTTCGAAAACAGTTTTGAAACTTATTTCATTTTTTTTTTAATAGCACAGCCCCACGTTGGGCGCCAATTAAATTACCGCTTTTTTTTTGTTGTTTCTTATTCACTAGTTTACACAATTGTTATTAGTACCGAACTTAATTTTCACTGCTCGCGATATTCAAGTTGTCGACCGATCAATTCGGATTCAAAAACGGACTGCCTGACTTTGGTTTAATAATCCATAGTCAAACCTCGGCTTAAGAGATTTATCTCAAAAATCTGATTAAGAGAGTCATCGAAGAGAGTCGGAAAATAGGATGATGAAATTTTTCAATTAAATTTGAAATTGAAATTCTGCCGGAAATCGATGTTTTCGTTATCGTACTTGGGGCTCCCTTTTTGGGGCTCTGGTGTTTATAATATCGGCTTGGATATTTAACGAATCTGTTCGAAGCGGAGAGTGTGAAACTGATCTGGGTGGGAATGTATTGGAGGCTTAGTTAAAAAATGGTAAAAAGCTCTTGCCTCAAAGTTGTTTATAAATTGGGCAAGGGCCCCTAAGTAAAGTGTCATATAACATGCATGCCTATGATGAACTCTGGAAGTACGTTCAATACATCAATTGTAGTCGTTGTTTCGAGTGCGTAAAGTTCATATAAAGTAATATTAGTTGAGTGTACAAGATTCCCAAATTCCCTCCTTAGTGTCGTGCATTTCATTTTCGATTTTAAGACAAAGCGCTATTTCAGCAAGGGTGCTGTGGAATCTTTCGACCTGTCCGTTCGAGGTGCTGTGCAAGGGACTGCATTTGGAATGTTTATGTTGAAATTATTTAATAATATTGACTTAATAGTCTTAATAGTCACAGTTAATTGCTTGTGTGTTCTGAAAATAATTCACAATATTTAAAATTCGGGATTTTTCATCCACGATAGCTCTGGATGCGATCGGAACAGCGAACTTAGAAAATTTATTAATACATGTGAGATGCCTATATGGAGAATTTTTCCTGATCAACAGGGTATCGATGTTTGGCCGACTATTTGACTTGAAGGGGGACGGCTGTACTTTGCCATAGAGCAAATTTTACAATTAAGTGTTAGCTCCGTTGCTAGCTTCGCAGACTCTGTTTTGCGTTTTTTTAAGTTGCTCGGTGGGCTATATTATATTCTAAAGCTACAATTTCCTTTTGTTCGTATTGGTCATGAATATGCGTTACTAGGGATTTGCAATGTTTGAATGTCTTCGAGAGAAATGCCGCGACTAGTTTATGCTGAATAAAAGCAAGAATTGGCAGTTCGCAATGAATGGCATTAACGACATCCGTTTTGACTACGTCTAATAGTGTTGTTTCGAGATCGGATAAACGAATAATATGTCTGGTTTTTTCTTTGAATAAAATAAAGGCTCTCGTAGATGGGATGCCTGCTTCTTCGATGATTACCTGATTACGGAAACAATTAATTATCTGCTTTACGTTTTTGAGCTGCTCGATAGTCTCTATTTTATTCTAAGTTACTAATTCCTTTTGTTCTGATTGCACAGGAATATCCGTTACTAGGGACTTGCAATATTTAAATGTCGTCGAGGGAAATGCCTCCACTAGTTTATGCGGAATAAAAGCAAGAATTGACAGTTCGCAATGCATGGCATTAACGACATCCGTTTTTACTACGTCTAATAGTATTGTTAGAAGAGTTTTGTGATCGGATTAACGAATAATATATCTGGTTTTTTCTTTGAATAGAATAAAGGTTCTCGTAGGTGGGATGTCTGTTTCTTCGATGATTACCTGATAACGGTTTATCTACTGACTATATAGTGTACGTAAGCGAATCTTCGCTATGAATGATAGCGATATCAGATTCGAAGTTGTCCTGTAAGAGATCCGAAAACTGTCATGAGAGGGCATTGGCTACAACATTTTGTTTGCCTGATTTGTAGGGTGTTTGCGTTATAATCATCAATAAAAGATTTCCAGCGTGTTATGAGGGCATTTGTGTTTTTTTCGGATACAGCTTACGTCAAAGGTCAATGGTCAGTATAAATGTTTAATTTTCTTACTTTTTTAGTGCCCATACAATGGCTAGACGTTCCCGCTCATTGGTGGCGAAATGCATTTCGGTTTTCCGGATTGTTCTGGAGATCCAGATTATTGGACGATTTTCCTGCGACAACACAGTCCCTAAGCCATGCGCGTAAGCGTGCGTTGTTATGTCAAAAGGTTTGTTAAAATAGGGGTACGCGAGAACCGCTTACCATTTTCGTCTTTTAAGATCTCCGTTAGGGGTATTGCGATTGCGGCAAAGCCTTTTATAAAAGCTGCAGAGACCCAAAAATGATCCAAGGCTATAAAGTGACGTAGGTGCTTGGAAGGCTTCTGGTTTAGTTTCCTAAAATCTATAACATGGCGTTCTATCTTGTTGACACTTTCATCGTGGCCTTTTTTTTATCGACAACCCACACGGAATTGTTGTTAGGTGATCGTGATTTTCTGATGATTCAGTCTGCTAGAAGTTGTTTAACCTTTGCATTGACAAATTCAGATATGCCCATTGGGTAAGGGTATAATTTAGAAAATACGGGTTTCCCGTCAGAACAGATAGTAGCAATCGTATTTATATTAAACGGTATTAGGGTCTGCGAATGCCCCAGCCCTCTTAGTGATCATTTAATTAAATTAGGACATCATCGACATTCTGTTTGTATTTGTATTTATTATAAAATTTCATCCTAACGCTAAAAGTTTGGAACTTATAAGTTAATGCGCTAGTCACTAAGAGTTGCAAATATTTAATTGTTACATTATACTTAAAACAATTTTTCATAAAAACGAACCTAAATCGCCTTTTATTTTTGATTTAATTTACGTAATAGTGTTTTTAAGGTGTGTGAATAATTTTATCTTGAATTGCGTGGCACTGCTAATATTTTTAAGATGGTTTTGGAGCTGATTCTATAATCGAATAGCATTAATTAAAAATTGTCTTTCGGATGTCAATGATCTAGGTCTATTGCAAGTAAGATTGTTTGCTCTTCTAGAGGATGTAAATTGAAGTTTATCATCTTTTCGAAGGATCTTTTTGGAAAATTATTTTTTGCAGAAACCTAAGTTTACAGCTGTATCAACCATTGTTGCCATTTTAGCTTATTTCAAGCTAGATTTAGCATATTTTAAAATGAAATAGCTTGAAAAATACTTGAAATGCATATAGCTTAAAATCTGGCTTATTTCAAATTTCATTTAGCTAATTTCGGCTAAAAAAAATTTATAACAAAAAAGGAGGAAAAAAGAAGGAAATCAAAGACGAAAAATATTTTGATGAAAAATATAAAATCAGAGAAGATTGTAAAAACTTCATCAAGGCTTTAATTATTCAACTAAGGGAGAGGTAAGCTTTAATTGGATTTTAATAAAATGATATGTATTAATCTGCAGCGTAATTTCAGACTTCCTGATAACATTGAAGTACTAAAACAAATGGATATTTTCGCCGTTGACAATATGCTAAAAGCAAATAAAACGCCAGATAAAATTATTTCGTTGTTGGAACATTTCAAATATGAAAATATTGATGAAATAGTATCCCAATTTGGAAAAATCCACCTTATTAATTGGGAAAAAAAGGAAATAACTATAGAGTTTTGGTCAGAAGTTTTGATGTATAAGGATGCTGGCCAAAACAAAGCTTTCGAGCAACTGGCGTTATTTGCTTTGCACATTCTTTCACTGCCATGGTCGAATGCTGCGGTTGAGAGGGTATTCAGCCAAATGAACATGGTCAAAACAAAGTTGCGCAACAAAATGAATTTAAAGGTTTGTTTTTGAAATTTTAAATTATTTAAAATATACTAAGTATTTTTTTTTTATGTTATAGATATGGACTGCGACGTCAATGCAAATGTTGCCATGGCTACATACTTCCAACGAAATACCTCGCTTTAGTCAGCTCATCCGCTAAATATATGGAATCGAATGATGAAGTCGATGAAATTATTTCTTTGCTCTAATAGCTATATAAATATAATATCAATAAAAGTAAAAAATCAACTATTTTAATGTTTTCCATGGTTAGCTTATTTTTAGCTTAATTTTTTTAATTTTTAGCTCATTCTAGCTTATTTTTTTCTTCAATCTAGCTTATTTTATCTCTCAAAATCTGGCAGCACTGGTATCAACGTACTCAAATTGCAAATTTGTTAAAAATTTGGTGCAAATTGTTAAAAATTATCTTTCTTTTACTTATGACAAGACATTTTGATTTTGATGGGTTGATCCCAAGTCCATTGTTTTCGGCCCACTCATTTACACGTTCAAGTTCTCTGTTACAAACATTTATACATTCATTTATTCTGTTAAAAGGACGACTCACATATATTTGGACATCATCAGCATACAAGTGTACATTACATTCAGATAACGCATTGGGAAGATCACCACGATTAACATTTTCATATGAAAACGAAACGCTAGACAGTACAACAGATTTATGACAATTTTGTAGGTACGAAGACACAAGTTTGACAGAAGTTTTGGTAAACATAAGCATATTACGTAGTTTTGCACAAAGGACATTGTGGTTACCTTATCAAAGGCCTTACTATAGTCCAGTAAAACTAAGAGTGTAACATTGTTTCCTTAGGTCGTCTGCAATTTTTAAAATAGCTGAGGTACAGCTTCTGTTTTTCCTTAAACCAGACTGATTATTATTAAGCATTGCATTATCGGACATAAATTTATTAAGTTGATCAGTTATGAGATTTTCAAATTCCTTTTATAGGTATGGTAAAATGGATACAGGTCTGTACTCATTATTTGATTTGGGAATCAGAATTATTTTTGCCGTTTTCCAACAGTCCGGATATGTAGATTTTGTCGGCGCAGTATTAAAGCTATACGTTATGTATGGAAGGGTCTTTGGCAGCAGTATTTTTATAAATTTGGGGTATATGTTGTCAAACTCAGTGGCGTCACTCTTAATTCTTAGTATACTCTGAAGTACATCACACTGATTAACACACATAAACTTAAACCTAATATCACAGACAGTTTTAGGTACGAATCGTGGGGGGCAGATATTTATTTTCAGTGATTTTAGATACTGTGTAGTTTAAGGAATTTGTATTAAGTTCATTTACATTTATGACTTGCTCAAGTCCTTGTTTAACTTTGCATATTCCCAGGTTATTAATTTTTTTCCATGCCTGAGTTATTGAATTTACAAGAACAGAAATTTATCTTGGCGGTATCAGTAAGTTGGGTCGCTTTTGGTCTCGACGACTTAAACACCGCGTAAGCTTGAGGTGTCTTGTACCTTCTCCACTTATTGTACGTCTCGTCACGCTGTTATATTGCATCTTTGATGTTTCTTTGAAAGCATGGTTTTTCAGAAGAACGAATAGCTTAACTACGGACAGGTACGAGACAGTTATATAAATAAAAAATGTTGTTGTGTAATGGGTTAACTTGTTCCTCTACTACGAAAAGGGAATATATGTTATTCCAATTGCACGAATTTAAGTCCAAAAGGTCATAGTTGATATTGCCAAAGTCCCTTAAAACTTTTGTATGGTCAAGGTATTGTAGGATGGGACAACAAGTTGGTCATATGTAGCTACGCTGTCTGTATGAGAAACAAAAAATAAATCTAAAAGCGAGTTACCAACTTCATCCCCAGCGATTTCATGTCTTTTTCTAGGTGGGACTCCCTTAAAATATCGCTATTAAAATCGCCTGTTATAATGACGTATGAATAATTTAATGACACGTCAGGGAGAATATTTAGAAATTGGTCATGGTCAATCCGGCAGTTAGGTCGGTATAACACCCAATTAGCAGTTTATCAGCATGTCTTTGGCATCTAATTTCTATAAATAAGAATTCTATTGCACTACTGATTGAGTGTTTACATAAAACGTGGAACTTAACTTTTTAGTCACATATATTGCAACTCCACCCCCATGACTATCACGATGCAAATTATACCCATCACAACTAAAACTTTACATTTATTTGGAAAAAAACAAGTTTCAGACACACATATAACATCGACGTTCAAATTGATAAAGGGGTATCTAAATTATTCAATTTTTCGTGTGAGGCTTTGGGCATTTATGTTACACACATTAAGACCAGCTCTCTTCTTTCTGAGAATCCTTAACATCGCATGGCTATTTTATCGATTTGGATTTATGTTTATGTTATTGCTATCACTTATTTTAAATTATTTACTTAATATATTAGCTGCCCTAGCAGCCTACAAATATTTATGAAACAAAGACAAACCATACTAAAAAACTAATCTAAAATTAAAGCGACTGATTCTAAGCCTAAATAAATACAATAAAATTAAAGATGATTTTACAAAGATGGAATATAAATATAAAAGCGCAACTGATAATTGTTAAAGTCCCAGAACTAGCAGCTTCCAGAGCAGCTAATCCATCGAGGGTGCAAATCTCTATTTGAGCCAGTTCGCCCAAGCTTTGCACGCAAATCGCCTACAATCTTTTTTTCTCTTGAACGTAAATAAAACATCAGTTAAGCGCTTTTGCCTCTTAAGATGCATCTTGTATATTGGATTGGTCAGCTGTTCGTTTATATATAAAGGCTGGCGAGTCTACGCCGAGAGTTTGGTATGCCCCGACCGCAGTCCTGCCTTATCGTGCACATGTTCCATTTTAATAATTATAATCGGATAGAGTATGTGCCGATTTATGCGGTCGCATTCGAAAAATATAACAGATAGGCGACCCACTTTGAGTGACTCGCAGAGAAAGTTTGTTGCATTCAGCTGCTATCAACTTAAACTTCTCCTCCAGACTGCCGGTTATACGTGCCTCATCATCACGGATCTTCCCCGCAAGGTTTTCCTTTGGATCGGAAAATCTGAGGTCGATCGTGTGAAGCAATTGAGCATCGGATTCACGGGCTCCCTGTAGATCGGAGTGAGTTTCCTTCCTGAGTCCCTTTGCTGTTGAAGACATATTTGTGTTGGCGACGAGAAGTTTTATGTGTTTTACACTTGTTTATGCTGCTGCACTAAGTAGTGTATAGTTTTTTTAAGCCGAATTTAAGTTGTTTTTCGGTGTTTAAAGCGGAGCTTCAAAAAAGTGTGACTATTTCAAACAGGCTATATGCGGCATAAGCGCAAATAAATATGAATTGCAAAAGTTGGGCCGATTTCACCCTATTATTTCTATGGGAGCTATAGCATATAGACGTCCGATTGGCACGAGCTTTTACCCTGATCAAGGTAAGCACTTAAAAATACGATTTGGAAAGATTCATGTTAATAGCTTCTATACTGCGTGAAATAACCTGAAAAGTATACAATTTTTGCCGATTTCATCCTTTTCTTCCTATGGGTGCTTTAGGATATAGACGTCCGATCGGCACGCACTTATACCCTGATCAAGGTATGCATACAAAAATACGATTTGATAGGATGCAAATATCTACAATTCCTGCAAGTTATATCCGATTGTTCCTATGGGAGCTGTTTGTAAATTTATTGAGTTTTTATTATTTATAAATGTGGTTGCCCCTAGAACATAATCTAGTGACAGTAGGACGCTAAACCAACACTTGAATTGGTTTAAATCGCCATCGCTGACGAAACCTCGGTTTTTCCGCGCATCCTCGGCGGCGACGTGTACCGGTAACGGGACTCGCTCTCCGCTCTGTGCCCGTGTAATATTTAAATTTAACGGTGCCCTCTGTGTACACGCCTCCTACGCAAACCGTGCAAGTGTGCATTTTAGCCGGAAACGGTGCCTACGGCTTTTTAACCCTCCCTGTCCCGCTCTTGCGCTCTTGATCTTTGTGTCTGTGTGCTTGACCGTTTAGTTCGATACCGTGTATCGTCCTCTCCCTTTCTTCGGTAAGGGTACAGTGCTCCTCCGATACGCCGGATTTGAGACTGCCCCTCCTTGCTTTGCGGTTTTAACTGACTTATGTGTGTTTTTCTATCTTTGCCCGTGTGTTCGTGCCGCAGGTTGCAAATAACCGGAGAGTTGAAATTAATTATTTAAAACGGCCCTTCGTATCTGGGGGCCAGTTTCGCCGCGAATCCTTCTGCCACCTTGGATAGATGGTGCTCCTTGGCCCATACCGTGTGTCCGATCTATGGTTTCCAAGGGCGCCTCCGGAGATTGTAGTGGCGCGCCTGATCCTGCGCAGCCTTCTCCATGTTCCGTCTAACCAGCTCGAAGATTTCGTTTATTTATTTTTCGCATTTTCCGACGGGGTCTGGGTTTCCGTCCACTTCGAGAATCGATCTACGAGCACTTGACGCTTCGAGTTCCCGTGTTTCGACCGAGGAAGCGGCCCAACGAAATCGGCACATACTGTGGCTCCTCTGGGATCTGTGTGAGCATTTTTCCAGCTGCCTGGAGCTGACTGGGCTTGTATCTGAGGCAGCTCTCACAGTTCCGCACGTACTTCCTAATGTCGCGGTGCATTCCCGGCCAATAATACCTCGCTGCCACCCTCGCGATCGTCTTCCGGCTGCCCATGTGTCCGGCCGTCGGCATATCGTGGTTCTCGGCCATGACTCGCTGCCTTGACCCGATTGGTGCGCATAGCTTCCATGCGACCACATCGTTGTTGCCTGCTCTGTGAGGAATGTACAGCCGGTCGCCCTCCACTAAATAGTCCGGAAATTTTGGGGGTTCTGTGCTATCTTGTCCCTTATCCAGCTACATTCGGCTTGTTTCGCTGACTGACCATGTGGCTTCGTTTTCATCATTCGGCAGGTTTCAGGTAAGGGCTGCCGCGACAGTGCGTCCGCCACAATATTCAGCCGGCCTTTCCTGTATGTGATTTTGAAGTCGTATTGCTGGAGCTCCAGTGCCCACCGTACGATTCTTCCGGTTGGGCTCTCGATGCTATTCAACCACTTCAGGGCCATGTAATCTGTTATCACTTTGAAGTGGTATCACTCCAGGTATGGCTTTAATTTCCTTATGGCCCACACGATTGCTAAACATTCCTTTTCAGTGGCCGAGTAATTCTTTTCCGACCCGTTTAGGGTCCGGCTGGAA